TGACATCCGCCCGGTCATCCTCTACCCGCCTATTCCAGCAAACAACTTCGAGATCAAGCCATGCTGGATTCAGCTCATCACATCCTCTATCCAGTTTCATGGCTTGAAGGATGAGGAGGCCAGGGTACATCTTTCCCGTTTTCTGCAGCTGACGAACGGGTTCAAGCTGAATGGTGTCCCTGATGATGCAATCCGCCTTCATCTCTTCCCCCATTCTCTGGTGGGGAATGCTAAGAGGTGGTTGGAGACCCAGCCCCCATTGTCCATCACCTCTTGGGACGATCTGGCTGACAAATTCGTGCACAGGTACTATCCGGCAGTGGGAGCGGTACATGGGATACTTCTGGCAGTGTCCCCATCATGGCTTGAGTGATGCATTCACAGTGGGGAACTTCTACAGTGCTCTCTCTCCAGACAGCCAGCGGGTGATTGAGTCTCTATGCCTAGGAGGGGATATTCTCACTAAGACTCCACCCGAGCTGAACCAGATGATCAGTACTTTGGCTGCCAGAGATCATTCTTGGGGACAGGGTAGCCGAGGCAGACAGTCCCGGGACCGTGGTGTGCACGCCATGGAGACCAGATCCGGGCTCGAGCAGCAGGTAGCTGAGCTAGTGCAGACATTGAAGCAGCCCAACAGTCTCATTCCGGGCAGAGGTTTGGCTACACCTCCAGTAGCTCAATGTCAGTGGTGCGAGAGCTCCAATCACCTAGTGGAGGACTGCCAGGCTATGAGGGAGTCTACCACACCCCAGGAGCAGTTGGCCTTCATCGCCAATGCGCGGCGCCTCGATCCATACAGTAACACATATAATGAGGGGTGGCGCCAGCATCCCAACTTCGCCTGAAGCAGCAACACCACTAAACCACCTGGTTTCCCAGCACCAGCAGGTGGTTTTCAGCAGAGGCAGCCCTTCCAGGCTTGCCAGGGGCCAGACCCACAGCAGCAGCCCTACCAGCCTAGGCAGGGGCAACCATTCCAGCAGCCCCAGCGCCAGTTTGCCTTGCCAGCAGCAGCTCCATCCCCAGATGACCGGATGACAAAGCTGGAAAATATTCTAGCTTCATTCATGACTAGCACTCAGGCTGCTATCACGTCACTAGAGGCAGGTCAGCGGAACCAGGGTGCCATTTTGCAGGATCTGCAGACCCAGGTGGGCATCTTGGCCCGCCAAAACACCACCAGGGCGCCGGGGACTTTGCCTGCCACCACTATCCCGAATCCTCGGGATCCTCACCAGCACCAGCAGCTGGATGCCATTTTTACCAGGAGCGGTAAAACCATATCTGCTCATCCTGTCCCGGCCAGACAGGAGGAACCACTACCTGCTTCAGCACTTCCAGCCGACGATGCAGAAGTGCGGGTGGAGAAAGAAGCCCCTGCTCCCAAGCCACAACCAGTGGTTAAGGAGCATGTGCCCCAGCTTCCCTTCCCCACTCGCCTACACAAAGACAAGCTGGAGACTGAGTTTGCCAAGTTCATGGCAGTGTTGAAGCAGCTCAACATCAGCATACCGTTCGTGGAGGCACTGTCGAAGATGCCCAAGTATGCCAAGTTCATGAAAGACGTCCTCACCGACAAGAAGAAACTTGGGGATCTTTCGACAGTGATGCTCAGTGAGGAGTGTTCTGCTATCCTGCAGAACAAGCTGCCCGAGAAGCGAAAAGACCCAGGGAGTTTTACTATCCCTATTACTATTGGCAGCATGCATGTAGGCAAGTCCTTGGCGGACCTAGGCGCTAGTATAAATGTCATGCCATATAAGTTGTATAAAAAGCTAGACCTAGGTGAACTTAGCCCTACTAGGATGAGCATTCAGCTGGCTGATCGTTCCATTGTGCATCCTAGGGAAATCATAGAGGATCTGCTTGTCAGTGTCGGTGCATTCACATATCCTGTTGATTTTGTTATTCTTGATATACATGAGGATGTGGATGTACCTTTGATTCTGGGTAGACCATTTCTTGCCACCGCCAAGGCACTTATTGATGTGCATGATGGTAAACTGATCCTGCGTGCTGGGAATGAACATGCTACTTTTTCTGTGACTGAATTTGATCACTGTGCTATGCTTGCTGTCACCCCTGTGCATGCTATGTCTGATCAGGTACACGAGCCTGTCGTGTATCCTTCTGCACCTCTCATTTTGCAGGACCCCCTATCATTCCTTTGCCACCACTCCATCCAGTCTCGCCTCCGAACAAAAATCTCAAGGAGGAGTGGCGGCCGAAGCAGCAGGTTGCTAAACCTGCACGGAAGAAGAGTGGAGACCACTATGAGCTGGTCCCACCTCCTGCACCACGACCACCCTGGCCGTCCGGGTACTCACTCGCCTGCATCTTGCCAGATGGCCAGGTCGAGCTGACCGATGATGGTGGTCGCATCCGTCGGGTGCATGGCCACAACCTGAAGCTGTACCTCAAGAGCGACGTGGATCCGCTCTTGGGGGCACCTGTTCCTGCACCTCCCTGAGTATCCACCATGGGAGTCCAGCTAAACGACGGTAAAGAAGCGCTTGTGGGGAGGCAACCCCACCACGGTTTGATTTTCTTCTTGTGTTTTGAGTCGGATTGTAAACCAGTTTGGTTTTGGTCTGTTTTCTTTTGTTTTGGATGATGTTTTATTGGGCTGACCATTGGACCTAACATATTGTGTTTGAGCTTTTTGGTTTCCTTTGGCTGTGCTTGTCTTGACTGGTACTCTCTCCAGTCCGCTTCCAGTCCCCTGCAGTCCGTGCATACCGGTAACATCGTTCCTCTCTTCCTTCCCTCTTCTCCATTGAGGGAAATGTCGATCTTAAGTGTGGGGGGATGTTTATCTTTTGACTTTTGACTGCATTAGATCTGTTTGTGTACTTGGAGCCTAGTCCACTGTCCAAATTTTTAAATTTGAGGGCTCCAAGTACGTGTTCCTTGCAATTGCCTACTCAGTATGCTTTGAATTGACAGTCTTTATAGTAATATGCAACCTAGGGAGGTAGTGTAGCACTATGGAGGATGTTGATGCATTTAAGAAGTCTCGTGTCTTCTTCATATTGTGTTGGTTGATTGAGTGAATTAGTGATCTTAGGACCCTTGAATTGTGTGGTGTTGTGGATTCTCTACCTGTCATGGACTCTTGTTTCATGTTTTGAGTTTAACAGGTGCTCGAAAATGTGCTTCAAAATAATGTCTCCCGTGCGAATAGGGCGAAAGTGTGTAAGGGGAGACGGGAATCCATTCCCAATTTCCACCTACTACCTCCAGCCCCCTTACATGTCTTTCCCCCGCACGAGGCTCGAGACATCCGCTCCTGGCATGGCCGGTAAGAGCAGGTTGGGACCCTTGAAAAAAAAAATCACAGAAAACAAGCAAAACAGAAAGAAAAGGGGTTCCAACCATCTTCAAAAAGAAAATAGAGCACCTTGAAAAATGTGAGTCCATGATCCTTTGTTTTTGAGAATTTCTTCATCCACGATTCATTTGTCGACTGTTCACTGTTCGCCATGATGCCGACTCGATACTAGTGCTCTCGCCGAAGGAGCTATGAGATGACTTGTGCGTCGGTTGACCTCGTAAGCTGCTAATTGATCTAGGAAGTCCTCTACCTACGATCTGGGTTGTTTGTTGCTATAGAGGTCTGGAGAGTTGCATTGGTTTGAGTTAGGTTTGCTTGGGGACAAGCAAACGGTTAAGTGTGGGGGAGTTTGATAACGATGTAATTGCACATATTTGCGCCCCTAGTTCTTATCCGTTTGAGGGGCATAGTCGTGTACTTTTGGCCTATTTTACGCCGGGTTGTGCTATTTTGTCATATTTCAGGTCCCAGGCATCAAAGAAAAGGCTAAGCACGAGTTTTGGGGCATTCGGAAGTCATTTCGGTGAGCTGGAGCCAAAACACGGGCAGACCTAAAGCATTACACGGCCGTGTACTGGTGGCCGTGCTTTTTATGCCGAAGAGCTAATTGATTTGGCAAATTCAGCTGCAAACACGGGCTGAAAGCACGGCCGTGTTCAGGCAAAGCACGGCCGTGCCCACCGCGAAACACGGCCGTGTTTCTCCCAACTGCTGGCCGTGTAATTAACCCTGCCGAGGCACGGGCGGGCTCAGGCAAAGCACGGCCGTGTCCTCGACCGTGCTTTGGCCACTGATGCCTTTTTAAGCAGATTTTCAGCGAAAGAGAAGGGGATTCGAGTTTTTGAGAGAGAGAACGATTCCTAGAGAGAGAAAGCGACGAACAAGAGTCTCCAAGCGCCCTAGCTTGATCTTCAACACCATTGGAGGCCAGTTTGAGCTTGGAGAAGTGCCGATCAACGTCCAGGAGCAGGAATCCATCCTTCACAGTATGAATTCCGCGTCTGATTATGCTTTTGCTTCTTTCTCCATGGAGTAGTTCTCCCATTCATCTGGGTATGGAGAACCCTAGATTTGTATGTTAGGCTTTGATTGTATGAACCCAAGTATTGATTCTATGATTGATTATATTCGATTGAGGTTTGAATGATTGAATGACTTGAATCCTGATCAAATTCCTGTTGTTTCTGCTTTAACCTAGAATGAGAATATCTGCTTAGGTTAATAGAGCATCCTTGTTTGAAGGTAGGGAGTTGGTGACTTTAGTCGATGAGCCAACTCACTATTCTGTACCGGATTTACTCCGGTAGTGGAGGTTTTGTTTGTTAAGGCCTCAATCTGTTTACTCCGGTGGAGGTTAGTCACCCGCTAGAGACTCAGATTGAGAGGGTCTGAACACCTTTAGTCGAGACTCAGGCTGTTTAAGAACCTTCCGCAGTATAACTATCATAGAAACTGAACTTGGTAATTACAATCCGACTTAACTGCAGTCTAGGGGGAACCATATCCGGGTGACCTCTCTTAACCCGAATACAACCGTTTACTTGCTTTGTTAGTTTGTTAGTTTAGACTTGCATTAAAGTTTCATTGCTAGATAACAAGAATTCACTGAGTAGTCATCAAATCTAGGACCCGGGTTGATAATTAAACCTATCCCGCTATACTACGCTTTAGGAAGTGGTTTCACTTGGCCAATTCCTAGGGTGACTGTAGAAGTGAGTCACGAAGCCATGAAGGAGCTGGGTGTCTTGAAAAGCAAGCTGGCGGAAGATATGGAGGCGGTGAGGGCGCGGGTTCGGGACGAGCTCCGGGTTGAGTTCCAAGGGGAGAAGGAGAAGATGGAAGCGGATCACGCCGAGGAGCTGCGGCGCGTTCGAGAGCAGTTCCAGACGGAACGGGAGGAGTTCCAGAAGGAGAAGGAGGATCTTGTCCGCCTTCATGACGTGGCCAAGGCGGAGGCTGTGCGTGAAGCGCAAGTTGCCGCGGTCCGTCAGTATAGATCTTCTCCTTCTTTCGGGAAGGTTTTGGCGGACGCGATGACAAAAACTGTGATTGCGATCCGCAAGAAGGTTTGCCCGGAAAATCCCGGTGTTCGTTGGAACACTCGCGCTATGGTCGAACACGTTCAAATGTGGTTGCGCGAGAAGAGGTCATTGGAGCCCGATACCGAGTCTGAGGACGAGAAAGATGAAGAGGGCGAGGATGAGTCGTCCGAAGCTAGGGATGGGGAAACTGGCGTGGCAGCTGACAAGGTGGCTGTGGACGCGGCGGCAGAAGAGGGAGGGGGGGAATGCAACTGTAACTGACAACGTTGTAGATTCAGTATAGGTTATGTTTCCCTTTGTTTTCTGTGATGTGTTATTTGCTATCTCCCAGTGGGAAAATCCAAAGACATGAATATTCTCTAAGTTATGTTGCGTTGCCTTTTCCTATTTCACTTGTTGCACTGGTTTTTTTTCCTTTTAAGTTACATCGCGTTGCATTTGTGTTGTGTCGCAACTCGTGGTTGCGCTATACGTCGCGCATCATATGCGTGATTATTCGTAGCGCGTTTCATGACCGCCCGGTTACATGGCTACTTGGTAGCTCTATTTGTTTTGCATTGCAACTCGTGGTTGCGGGACACATCGCGCATCATATGCGTAATTATTTCGTAGCGCGGTTCATGACCGCGCGGTTACGTGGCTACTTGGTAGCTCTATTTATCGCGCATATGTGCGCGATCATTTCGTAGCGTGGTTCATGACCGCGCGGTTACATGGCTACTTGGTAGCTCTACTTGTTTTGCTTTGCAACTCGTGGTTGCGGGACACGTCGCGCATAACATGCATGATTGTTTCGTAGCGCGGTTCATGAGCGGTCATATACTGTGTTATTGCATGGGGGGAGGAAAATCTCATTAATTAAACCGGTCGTGGAGGTACATGGGGGGTGATTACAATCTCTTGTGGTACTTTCTTAAATTCTGGGCATTCCAAGTTCGTGGGATTGGCTCGCCGCCAATCGTGCTGATTTTGAAGGTATTGGCGCCTACGACCTCGCGGACGAGGTATGGCCCCTCCCATGTTGACGCTAGCTTTCCATGTTTCGCGTCGGGGCGAAAGTTACGCCGCAGCACTTGGTCTCCAATTTGGATGTTGTGTGGGATCAGTTTGGCGTTGTAGTACTTTGCGACTTGGGCCTTCGTTGCCGCCAGCTTGATAGCCGCTGTTTTTCGCCTCTCCGTAGTTAGCTCGAGGTCCGTGAGTCGAGCTTCGTTGTTGTCTTCCTTGTTGAACATGGTGATGCGGTATGTGGGTATAACTGTTTCTATTGGGATGACTGCGTCACTGCCGTAGGTTAGCGCAAACGGGGTTTCGCCCGTTGCTGTCTTGAATGTTGTTCAATGCGCCCATAGGACTGTGTGTAGCTCCTCTGCCCAATTACCTTTCGCTTTCCGAGGCGGGTGTGCAGGCCGTGTAAGATTGACTTGTTCGCCGCCTCTGCATGGCCGTTAGCTTGGGGATACGCTACCGACGCAAATCGAGCTATGGCACCTACCTCATCACAAAAGTCTATGACTTCCGCGCAGTCGAATTGCTTGCCGTGGTCGAATACGAATGAGTTTGGGACACCAAACCTGGTGAGTACGTTATTTTTCAAAAAGCGCACCACCTGTTGGGCCGTGATTGACGCAAGCGCTTCTGCCTCTATCCACTTGGTGAAGTAGTCCACGACGACAATGATGTACTTGCGCTTGCCTTTTGCGGTGGGGAATGATCCTAGTAGGTCGACCTCCCATTGCGCGAAAGGCCATGTGCTTACGTTTCCTTGGAGCTCCGTGGATGGTATGTGATGCTGCCGCGCATTCAGCTGGAATTTGTGGCATTGATCAATAATTTTTTCGCGTCTTTTTTAATGCGTGGCCAGTAATACCCCTGTAGGAGGATGTTGCGTTCCATGCTGCGCGCGCCACAATGCATTGCACAAATGCCTTCGTGTATGTCTTGTACGATTGCTCGTGCCTCATCTGGTCCTACACACTTTAGGTATACACCTGAGTGTGAGCGTCTGTGGAGTTTGTCGTCAATGATGGTGCAACGGGCGGCCTTCTGCCTGAGCGCCCATGCTTCTTTTGCGTCTTCTGGTATTGCGCCGCTTGTCAAGAACTCGATGATTGGTGTTCGCCAGTCACTTTCTTCTATTTGTGTTGCATTCACGCACCGTGATGGATCTTGATCCTCTTTCTGCATGGAGACCAATCTTGTTGTGTCGAAGTCTGTCGCCGTGGCTAATTTGGAAAGTGCATCCGCATGCATGTTATCCTCTCTCGGTATCTGGACATACGTGACAGCTTCGAATTGGGATTCCCGTGCCTTCACCCGCTCGATGTACTGGGACAGTGTGTCCTCTTTGTCGTCGAAGACTCCATTCAACTCGTTGACAGCGATGGAGGAGTCGGAACGGATCCGCACTGTTCTCGCGCCTAGGTCTCTGGCGGCCGTCAGTCCCGAGAGTATCGCTTGGTATTCCGAGGCGTTGTTGGTCTTGAGGGTTTGGAAACGGATGGCGATTTCGTGAATAGCTCCTGTGGGCAGTTTTACGACGACACCTGCCCCCGCTCCGTGTTTGCTAGCCACCCCGTCAACGTAGATCTCCCATGCTTCGTCGTTGTTGTCGCACAACGTTACTCCTTCCGCCACGAAGTCGGCAAGGACTTGCGCTTTGATTGCTGGCCTTGGCGCATACTGTATGTCGTACTCTGACAATTCAACCGCCCATTTTGTCATCCGGCCCGACACTTCCATCGAGCTTAGGATTTTCTTCAGCGGCAGGTTGGTGAGCACTGTGATTGGGTGTGATTAGAAGTAGGGGCGCAACTTTTGTGAGGCGTTCACTAAGGCCAAGGCGGCTTTCCCAATCGGGGAGTATCTTGTCTCCGCGCCAGCGAGTGTTCGGGATGTGTAGTAGATTGGTCTTTCCGTTTGCGCATCTTTGCGAGAGATTAACACAACGCTGACGGCGCGTGCGGACACAGAGAGGTACAGAAACAATTTTTCATTAAGCCCGGGGGCGGTTAATACAGGGGGGATACCAGGTACAGTTTGAGCTCGTTGAATGCCGCTTCACACTCCGGGGTCCACTTGAAGCGAGCGCCATTCTTCAGGGTTTGGAAAAATGGGCACTCCTAATGAGCCCCTATATTTCTACGCGAGCGCCATCCTCCTCTCCGCTTACGTATTCCGCCAAATATCCTCTCCTAATGAGCCCCTCTATTTCTACGCGAAGATTAAAGCAATCTTCGGTCAGGTGCCCTGGCTCTCGGTGGAAGTCGCAGTGCTTTCTGTGGTCGCGAGTGTGCATAAGGACTCTTATCAGCACTGGCCAGTTGACGCGATAGCCCTTCTCCCTGATGAGGTGGAAGATGTTCTTTACCGAGTCGTTGAGGGGAGTGAAGCTCGTTTGCGGGCGCCTCTCTGGTGAACGCCTTCGTTGCGGAGGATCCTGAGGGGCGTGTTGCTTACCATACCCGCTATGGTACTGCGGGAGCGGGAGTTGCGGCTCTCGTCGCCTTTGTTCCTCTCGCGGAGGTTTTGTTGGCTCATAGCGGCGGACCGATCCGGCTCCCAAGGTTTCTTCCAGGGTGATCGCCTTCTCAATTTTGGTTTCCAGTTCTGAGGAAGAGATGACGGGTCTCTTTGCCAACGCGCGCTTGAGCTCCGCGTTGGTGGTTGCCTCCATGAGGTGGTGGGATGCGGTCTCCGGAGTCAGATCGCGCACTGCCATGGCGGTCCTTGACCATCTGGCGTAGGACGCCCGTAGGCTCTCTTCGTCCTTCTGTTTGAGGTCGATCAACGCCTTAAGGTGGAGCGACCTTCTCTTCTGGGAGGCGAACTTAGTTGTGAAGAGCAATATGAACTCCTTTAAGGTGCGGATGATTCTGTTGGGGAGGCGGTTATACCAGTCCAGGAATATTCCCGAGAATGTGGATGGGAAGGTCCTGCACAATGCCGCGTTGGAGTTCGTCTGCAGCTGCATGCGCAGGCAGAAGCTGCTGACGTGGTCTTCAGGGTCTGTTGTCTCGTTGTACATGGGCATGGTGGGGGGAGTCCCTCTTAGATGCTCCGCCATAATTTCCACGCATAGTGGTTGGTGCAGTGCTCTTTTTGGCGGGGCGCGGTACAGCGGGGACAAGTGCTGTTCCAAGAAGGTTAGATCCGCCCTCTCTGGCGGATCCTGCTCATGCAACGTTAGGGCGGATTTCCTAACTGTTTGGCAATCCGCCGGTGGTGGTCGCGTCGTCGGTTGTAGTGGCGCCTGTTTCCTTACTCATCATCAGGGCGATCACTTGGTTCATCTTTACTTGCATGTCCGCGATGACCTCGTTCTGCTTGGTCATCTGTTGGCGGACCTTCTTGGCCGTCAGCTCCGGCTCTTCTTCTTCAATTAGGACCACGTTGAGATTGCTCGTTTCCGCGAATGACCTTGAGTTTGTCATCGCTTTGATTGGGGTTACTTCGCTGGGGATGCTGTTGTCTTGTTCTGCCATTGGGGATTTTGATCTTGTTGTTCCTCTACTCTTGCCCCACGGTGGGCGCCAATTGTTTGAGTCCAACTGAGGGTAGGAGGTGAACTAGGAAAAGAGGGTGAGAAGAGTAACAACAAGAGGTCTAGAAAGGAGGTATTCTTAGAGAGAGAAAGTAGTAGTTCGTAATACTAGTCAGAGAGTGAAAAATGCGATCCCCTCACCCACCGGAGTAAATGCCGTATTTATAGGCTACATGGTGGTGGGTGAGTTACACTGTGACAAGACTGCTATCATTGTCAGAACTTTCAGCCATCCTCCTACCTAGTACTAGGGGGCTTGTCCATCATTGTACCTAGGACACTGATGTGATCACTCTTCAAGGGATAGGGTGTCGTTTCCAAGGAAGACTAGGTATAGTCAACTTTTGGCTGAAACGCCACCGTTCGGTCGTTTGGAGTCCATGTCCGCGCATGAGGCCTCCGGGCGCTTAAACTTCTCGCGTGTGCGCGACTTTGGGTACGCCTTTGCAAGCGCGGCGTCGCGCTGGCCTCTTGGCGCGCCTGGACCCGAGCCATATGGCCAACAATTACCATCCCATCCGTATAATTATTCAACTATCATATATAAACTGGAGATTGCTTATAAAAAAAATATAAAGTGGAGATTCATGCATGGAGGTCAAATCATGAAAATTGAATATATATATTTTTCTAACAGTGCATCACCGATTTATTTTCTATTTTCCAACTCACCAATACAATTACTGAACAACCAAAATAATTAAATCAAATTTAAAATAAACATATCTTCCCAAACCGTGTTGCAGGCTCCTCAAAGAATACGTTCCCCTTTTTACAAAAAGAATGTTCCATCTCCTCTCCACCGTTGTGCCCTTCTCACTGATAACACCTAAAATAGGCATTATTTAATGCTTATTCTTAAGGCATTTGCATGTTAAATCATCGTGTCTAGGCCACACATCAAGTTATTGATCACTTGAATCCGTGCATGTTATTTTCGGTGGTTT